ACGACATTGTGGCTCGATTTACCAATATAAAGAGCGTCTGAACTCGAGCATCCCCGATCATAGATTTTATGATGAAAAGGAAAACAAGGGATAACGTTTCTTTCTTGGATGTTATCGTCTGCCGTCAACAGGACAGTTTGCTTAAAACTGAGCAACATCCCGCAAATATTGGCAACAGCAACAACCTCCCAATTCATCATAACCGCAACCGTGTATGGTCGTTGATATATGGCAGTGGATCCTATGAGCTTTCAACACCTGTCTCTAAATTCAGAGACCTAATATAAAAGTTTTGATGGCCACTGACAGACCATATTTTAAGTTAGCACCACCTCACATTTCGGCTACCAGTAAGTGTCTATTGAAACGTGTGCGTGGTGCTACAAATGTATTGGGCCGCTTCAGATATCCTCGTGATGTCAGAGCCTATACGGGCCGCCCAATTTGAGGTCAAGCCTGTCCTTTTGACTTGAAGCATTGATCTCAGACAACATTGATCGTCCATTTCTAGTTTTGTCCTGCATGTTTAACTCAGCATTTATAATAGTGCTGGACAGAACAGACAAATACGTAGAAAAATTAACTTTCGTGAAGATTGTAATATGGTGATGGTATATAGGCACTTGGGACTTGAATGATCCTACTCTGTCTATTCGGTAGCAACCTGTTGAGATATATTTGGAATTGTCCACTTTATCATGTTACTCGTAAAAAGTTTTTATTATTTGCAAGTGCAACTTGACAATTGATTTTGCGAATTTATTGATAAATTGGCTGACCTGATGGTCGTTGTCTTAGTTCGGTGCTAGTTGGGATTCGTCGTCGGCGTGATTATGCTAATCGATCTGCGTTCGTGTATGAGTTCAGTTCCGTCAGAAATGCGTAGGACGTTATTTATAAACCAGTCACTCACGCAGTCAACTATGGCAAGTAAAGAGATGCATCTTCGTCGAACGCCTAATATGACATCAAACGAATATGAAGGGTTGTTTTGCGCAACGGACAACGTTGGGCCCATAATTGACTTTTAAAGTTTTATTTTCTACCTCCATTATTTGCAGTAGGCACTCGTTATTAATAAAGTCAAACGCTGCGCCTAAGTATATAAGGCAGACTGTTAAAAGCTAGCAGCTATGAATGCATCTGGGTATGTTTTGTTTCAAAACTATCTGATCGGCTATTCATGTCTTTCCAGGGTCTTGTCCTAAGAATAGTGCTTGTCGACCTCTGTGAGAGCTTCAGTGGGACTTCTACCGCT